GCAGAATTCCCACAGCTAAACCCAGAAGCATAAATGGCAGTGACATAATGTGAATAGCGTTGTCATCTGACGCAGGTACTCTCCTGCTTCTGGGATTTGCAGTGGGGTTTCTGAACCTGTCCCGTTTAATTGATGCTGAAGACAGATCCTGGAGGCGGCTGTGATTCTGAGGAATAGATCCCTGCCTCTGGCCGGTTCCTGTTGCTTCAACAATGTTCCTTGCCTTTGACCCACAGTTCTGTTGTGATCATTGTAATAAAAGCCATTAAGAAAACATGCAGTAAGTTGTATTTGTTATGTGTTGGAGCTCGGCAGTTAGAACCACATTTTTATGCTCGTGTATAATAAGTTTTTCTTAGTTAATGGTGTGACAGTGTAGTTGTCTGGGCCCAATCTCTCCAGTATTGTAAGCTCCGTCAGTTGAGTTTCCCCTTTGAATCTGCCAAATAATTTGTGGCAGAAACTCAATATTGTTTTTTGAGTTGAACTGAGTTGCCTCCATATCTTAGAATAACATGTAGTGATTGCCATTTTATTACCCTCATATATATTGCCATTACTGTATCTTTTACACCCATTGAGTGCCTTATGCATACAGTGAACTTTTGCCCAAGCAGTGGTGAAAGCTCTCAGAGTTCTTCTCTACTACAGTCACTATTGCACTGGTTTTCTGCTCCTTTGGCAGGGGCAGTCCACTACCTCTGTACCCTGTCTGCTCACACAGATGACCAGCTTTAGCTGAGCTCACCCAAGGCAAAGCCAAGTGCCTTCAGACTTGACTTTTCCATAATGATGGTCTTTCTTTGGAATGTTCTCTCTGTTATTATCTTGCCAACTGGATTTCTTATTGTCCACTTGGGTGTTTTGAAGTCGATGTCACCCTCTCTACCATTCCACTGTTAGCCAGCTTGGACTGAGTTTTGTCCTGTCCTTGTTTATACGTGCATTTCACAGGGAATTCTGTGAGACACCTGCTCTCTTTGCTTTATTTTCATGTTTCCAGATGTCAAGGTCCTATAGAAATGTTTTAAAAAACATGGTAACTCAAAATAAGAAGCACCATCTTAAGAAGCATCATAATGGTGTAACCAGTGAGGTAGGTAGCTGAGGCCAAAGGTGTGGAGGTTAATAGCAGGAGAAAGAGCTTAGAGAGTGGGAAAGGGCAGGTTGTAAATCAAGTGCAAATCCCAGACGCCATACCTGTTAGCAGTGTGACCTTGGGCAGATTGCTCAGTACTTCTGAGTCTCAGATTTTTAGTCTCTAAAAGGGCAATGATGATGCTATTTTAAGTATTAAGTGAGATATTTATACACATGTGTAATGTAATTGGAAAGGTTTCTAACACAGCTAGAATATAGAACTAGAATACAGAAAATATTCAATAGTCTTGTCAGTATCTTCAGCGAAGGAGCTCATTTCTAATCAATAAGGAGAGTTACCCAGGTGTTCTTGACATGAGCCATCATTGTGTTCACTTGTTATGTCTGGCTATCTGTCTTTCGTCTATCTGTCTATCCATACATCTTAAATCTGTCTCTATCTATCTCTCTATCTCTCTATCTATCTAATCTACCTATCATCTCTATCCACCCGCCCACCCACCCTCTTCTGGGTAGCTCTGTGGAGGTGGCAACAGCAGAGCTCCGGTGTGAAGGAGTACCTCAGTTCACCTGCTCTTGGAGATTAAACAGTATGGATGGGAGAGTAGCATATTCTTTTAAATTCGGTTTGGTATCAGACAAACAGCGAGAAATCAGACATGCTCTTCCAGGATGAGTTACTCCACTGAGAGCCCTTCCAAGGTTAGCAAGAGCTCCTCAGGATGAGCTTATGAAGAGGACCAGGGCAGTGCTCTTCCATGTCAGGACGTCTTCGCACCCTCCCAGCCTGTGAGCTGGAACATGCCCGTGGCGAAGGCTGCCTCTCCCACATGCCTGGCGCTGTGCCGGCTGTTCTCACCTCTTTCCTCTCCTCTGCCTACCAACATTCAAGATTCGAGATTGGTGCACACTTCCTCACATGACGGGGGAGAAACCTATGGAGAAGGAAGAGTCAGGTCGCTTGCCCAGAAGCACGTTGTGGGGTAGTCCACCGGAAGCAGCTGTGAAGGTTAGCCAGCTCAATTTTTGCTATTAAGTGTCATCATTTGTCAGAATGGTGAGTGTCATCATTACTATAAAGACATTTCTTAGCAGGAATCGGGGGCTCACAGTGTCACTATCCACATCAGGTCCCGTTACCTACTGGGAGAAGGCAGTGGGGACTTTATGCGGGGGTGGTATATCCAACAGAAGCCTCTGGCAAAGTCACAGAGAACGAGAATAAAAGAGAATAAGAAAATGTAGCGTATTTAGACTTGCAAAACACCTTGGAAAAGGTTACTGTATTTTCCTGAGGTGGGAGAATTCTTTGATCTTGATGCTTAAAAAAAAGAAAGAAAGAAATGCTAGACTCTAAGGGCATTTCTGTGGGTGATGTAAACAATGCTGCCTGCAAGTGATCAGCACCGGGCCACACTTACTTAGCATATGTATAAATCATCAGAAAAGAGTACACAGCAAAATTTCCAGATTCGCAAGAACCGCTAAGCTCTTCCAGGTAGTGAAATGCCAAGTTGCTGCATATAAATGCAGAGAGATACCACAGGGCTCTGTGAGTGGGCAGAGGATGACAGATGGGTTTCTGCCTGGACAGCTGCAAGATAAGAAGTTTAGGGGAAAACAATTCAGACCATCCTGCCTAGATTAAAGGTCTTTGAACCATCAGCGATGTCGAAACTAAGGGATTTTAAGCCAGCGTATGCGTCTCTCCCCATTTATTCCTCCTGAGGCTAAAAGGTCAACCAGGAATCAGGTATGCTTAGGAAGGGCGTTTGAAAAGGACATAAAGAGCAGAAAACAGTATCATGTTCAATCTAAAGTCATGACTCCCTTCTACCTGGAGCCGTCGTTTCGACAGACCTTCAGCGCGGGCTTATGGGGGGGGGTGGGGGGAGAAGTTTGGAGAATGTTCGCGAAACACTCTCGAAGGGAAGGGAAAGAGGCACTACTGTGTGGCAGCAGACATGCGAGGTCAGGATTCATCAGCCTGGGGAGGTTTATAAAATCATGGGGACGCGGGAGGGAGACATTCGCCGTGGGTCGTCCACCGTCCCCACCATCATCCGCGTGGGTCGGGGTGATGCCAGAGGTGCAGGCATCGTGTGAGCTCACAGGCTGTGTCAACTCAGGCGGGTCAGCTAACACCCAGGCTCGCAGAAACTCAAGGCCGCACGGGCTGCACGCCAAGGAAATGCCCATACTCCACCTGAAAACTTGAGGATAGGGAAGGATGCTTACACAAAGGGCAACTGCCTTGGAAACTAGCTACCCAACAAGAGTCGTTCTGGGACTGTACGTGGACAGGGGAGGGGTGAGGACATTTTTGTGAATGGATTTCTAATACGTTGTTTTTTTTAAAAGACAGGAACATCCGGAGATAGGCCTGCAATTTGCAGTGCATACCTTGGAGTAAAACGTGCCTTGGAATCAGGCACACCTGATTCACACCCCAGAGCCACCACGTACTGCCTTTTGGGTAGGCAGCTTAACCACTCTCAACCTCAGTTTCCTCATCCGTCAAGTGAGACTAGGCTGGGTGCGGTGGCTGACACCTGTCATCTCAGCATTTTGCTGGACTGAGGCAGGAGTTTGAGACCAGCCTGAGCAACATAGGGAGACCCCATCCTACAAAAGTTTAAAAAAATAGCGAAACCCAAGTATGGTGGTACAAACCTGCAGATTCAGCTACAGGGAGGCCGAGGCAGGAAGATTGCTTGAGGCCAGGAGGTCGAGACCAGCCTGGGCAACAGAGCAGGACCCGTCTACAGAAGTAATAAGACAGACGAGCTGGGTGTGGTGGCATGTGCCTATCGCTGCTCCTCAGGAAGCTGAGAGGCAGGAGAATCACTTGAACCCAGGAATTCCAGATCGCAGTGAGCTGTGATTACACCACTGTGTTCCTGCCTAGTTAACAGAGCAAGACCCTGTGTCAAAAAGGAAGAGAAAAAGTGGGCGCAGGGGGTTGGAGAGCCCCCTCCCAGCTGGAGAAGTGGGAGGGCTGCAGGGGGCTTTTCCAAGCACCGGGACAGGGCAGGACTGAGGCAGTGCCCCTTCCCGGTGCACTTTCTGGGGCGCTCTGCGTCTACCCGACAGGTGATGCGTCCTCCTATCATGTTGCTACTTTTATCCACAAGAATGTTCACTCTTTCCTCTTCCTCACGCTCTTATTTTCTCAGGCAGTGCTTTAGGTTTTGAGAAACCGTTGTGCCAAGCACCTACCAGGTACCGGCTCCTGGGAGCAGTCCTGGGGAGGGCTACACACACCACTAGCCTGTCAGCCGTGTTCTTCCAGAGAACAAGAAGGAAGGGCAGGGCGTGCGGGGTTGAGGGTACAGCTCCTCCAGCAAGGACGGAGGAAGGCCTTTCTGAGAGGACAGCGTCCGAGAAATGTCGCTGGTCATTTGAAAATCTCATCAGGGGGCAGGGGAGCGGCCGAGCCAGGGCCGAGCCAGGGCGGAGGCCCCACGGCGAGGATGTACATGGGTGCTCGAGGCCAAGGAGGCCGGTGTAACCCAGCGCCCTGAGTGGTGGTGAGGGGCGGGGCGAAGGGATGGGGTGCTGAGGGGGGCCCGTCCTACTGACGAGCCCCCCCAGATGAGGTTAGGATTCGGGCTTTGTTCTGCGTGGCTCCAGCCGCCGGGTATGAAGGGCTGGCTTCTGCTTGGTGAGGCTGCGGCCTGCCATGGGGGCGTGGACCCCACCACCCGCCCCCCCTCTGCGACTCCTCCAGGCTTCCCGCCTACCTCTTTGACCTTTCTGGACTTGGGCACGTGAATTCCACACCACCCCTCTCACGGCACGGGTGACTTTGCAAATCTCTTCACTCCTCGTGTTTAAGGACATAGAAAATTATTTTTTTCCTCCAGTGAAATATTTAACCCAAACATATGTTGTTTCAGGTTTTAAAAATCAATTTGATTGGCCACAGGAAACGTATTCTGGCATCTCTGGGAGACAGGCTGCACGAAGACCCCCCACAGAAGCCCCCCCGGTCCATCACCCTCAGGGTAAGTGCCCGGCACCCCTGCTTCCCCACCCTTCTCCTCGAGAACTGTCGTGTGAGGTTTTGCCAGCCTGCCTTTATCGATGGGGGCCACGGCTCAGGAAGCACAGGCTATGGCCACCGCGCCTACCTGATTTGCACAGGAAAGTCTCCCTTTGCTTGCGTTTCACCAATGAGATGTGTCTTTCTCAATTGCTTATATGCACCTTTCTGAGCTGTAGATACTCATCTATCATGGCATTCAGTCTGACAGACCCCCTGCTCCCCCACCCCTATCCCACACGCCCATCCACACCAAGAGAGTAGCAATGAGTTTTCTGTCCCCAACTCCTCAAACCCACAGAGGGAAAATTAGTCAAGGACCACAGTTCAGTCAAGATCAACTTAAAAGTAACCTTAGGGTCTTCTGTTCTGCAAGAAGTGGAAATTGTCCAGCTCTACCCACCTTCAAAATTAAGAGTAGGGAATCTCAAACTTTACTGAACACACGTGATTTGTTTCAGCTACATTTTAGGACGGTGGGGTAGAGAGCCAGAAAGAAACCGGGCAAGGGAGGGAGATGAAGCCGGAGAGAAGGAAGGCGGAAGGGAAGTGGGGAGACAGAGGGACTTCCAGGCAGGGTGGGGACAGGAGCCTTCCCAGAAAGCAGAGCTCCCGCAGGCTGCAGGGCTCCCCTGGAAGAGCCAGGAGAGCTCGTGGGCATGAGTGGTGAGCACACCAGCCGAGCCAGTGCCACGACACCAGGCGACCACGTGGGGGTCTGGTGGCAGAGGGGCCGCTGAAGTCTGGAGGCTGATTTCACTTTGCCAGAGAAGAAAACACGGAGGTTTCAGGAAAGGCGAGAGAATTGGCCCCAGGAGGGAGCCGTGAGGAAATCGAGTACTGGATTGGGATGGAGGGTCGGGAGATTACAGGGGTGCTTGGATACTTGAGGGCTCTAGGACCAGTCAAAGCAGAAAGGTTTTCCCTCGGGAAGAGGATCCGCAAATGAACTGGGGAAAAAAATGAGGGTAGCAAGGGATTCTTGTTTTGCCTACTTTTTGCCACATGGAAGGAAAGGTGCAAAGGCCATCAGTGTGAGCAACCTCCAGCGACTGCCCAGGGAGTCATGGCCTGCTCCTCACCCTGCTTCCTTTCCTTCCCCTCTGAAACCCCTTTCTGGTCCCCAGAAGAGATTTAGGGAAACAAAAAACAGATCAAAGACAGAGATTCCCGAGCAAAGGTACAGGACCTGAGTCTGCCTAGCGAGGCTTGGAGCATCTGGGGGGAAGTGGCCGGGGAGGGACCCATGACCCCGACCTCATCTCACCTGCAGACACGGGCTCGGCTGTCCACACCCCTCACCCGCTACCCGGTTCCTTCAGCTGGGGCTGGGTTGTCTTTGCCGTTGACAAACATCCTCTGTGGTCCATGCACTGCTCTGCAGTCCGTGTGTGTGGCGTGCTGTGTTGCCATGCTGTGTCCTCTTCCTAGCCCAATCGTCACACTGCTCTTGGGGGGAGCATCAAGACCCCCCGGGTCCTGTGTCAGCTGTCCCTTCATGGCACCTCCCAGGGTGAGCCCTGCCCTGGGAGAACTCTGCTCCTCCCCTTGTAAACACACCCAGAAGTGTGGGGGCTGGCATAGGGGCACCTCCCTCCGGAGACCTCCACGGTGCTGAGTTCAGGAGACAGAGCCTGGCTCTTGGCACTTCAGAGCTTTAACCCGAGGTGCGGGGGGGAATGTATTGACCAGATCACGCCATTAGCGGGATGGCAGACTGCCACCCCGCCCCGGGCAGTTCGCGCCAGAGCGAGTCCCCGTCCCCGCAGCGTGTCGTGTCGGTGTTTCGCAATTTTGAAACCAAAGGCTAGCCACAGCGCACGGTATTTACTTCATGATGTATTTCCATTCAGGAACCCAGTGGTAATCACACTCCTCCTCAGTTGTCTCCATCACTTAGCCAAAGCACTTACACCACTGGTGGCTCCCTAGACGTTCCTCACATTATCATGCAGGGCGATGCAAGGAGGAGAAGAAATGAAAACTACTTTGATGATATTCCCCGATCGAAGCTGGAGAGGCAGATGGCTCAGGTAAGGTGTTATCAGCCTCTGTGACGTGCTTGCATTTCACCACCAGGTCACGCGGTCTGCAGCTCGTGGCGGACGCTTCCAGTCCGTGCTGCCTGGACCGTTTCCACTTTATGCCCTGGTTTCCTTCCTTGCCGGCTTGAGCTAGACCGAAACAGAAGTGCCCGGGAATGGAATACACACAGTGTATACATATATCCTTGTTGCTCATTCTTGCTGAAGAAGTTGTGTCTGATCTCAGGGCACCAAGCAAGTCTTTGCCCTAAGGGGACTGAATGCTGTGTCAAAATCAAGCCATAATGAAAATGAGTAATAAAAGGCTAGCTAGACCATAGAATGTAAATTGGTGGGATACAGGGCAGAAGCTTGCGGGAAGGACTGACTCCACGTCATGTTAATTTCTTCCCAAGTTTCTGCATCGATGTAGAATTGCGCCCTTGGGACTTGGAGCATCATCTCATATTGTCACTTAGTAGTTGAAAACGATGGTGCTGCCTGCCACAGATGCTGAAAAGAGATCCGTCTCGTTCAGACCGGGCCATGTTTCGTATGGATGCCCACGTCTAACCTGTCCCAGATCGCTGCTCAGAAATTCGAGTTGGCCTCAGCCGAGCAGTGGCTGTTCTGAAAGCACATTCGGGTGGGCAGCGAAGGCTGCATCTCACCCTGAGGGTCACAGAGACGGATTTGTTGACAACTCTGGCAGAATCAACTCTTTTCATCCTCATTCTAGGTTCAGACTGATGTGCAGGAGTCTTCTCTCTGCCTCCACACCTAAGATGAGAATCTCCAGGTGAAAATTTGACTGTAATTGCGTTGCCTTGGTTGTTAAATACTTTTCTCAACTGTGTGGTGAGATTTTATTTTTAAAGCCTTTGGTAAACACTCTCTGCTGCAACTCATGAAAGATAAATGTGAAGAGAATGTTCTGGAAACCCTGGCTATTCTGCCTGTGGATGCGTTGGAGAAAAAGGGCCTGGGAGATTGTGTCTTGCTCTCCACTCCCCCAATCTTGAGTTATCCTCAGAGTTCCTGGTGCAGGGAATGGCAATGCAGGGGTTATGGACAATTGAAGGGACATGAAAAAAAATGTAGGAGGAACAAGAATCATTTTCCATTTCTCTGTTGTTAGATACTATCTTTTCGTCTTTATTGCTGTTTTCATGGACATCTTTTAAATAGGGAGTCCAAAAGCTTTTTCGCCCCAAGCTGTTCAAGTATTTGTGGCCTACATATATGGTTAAACTACTCTAAGGACAGCATCTTAGAGACACGGTTTGTTTTAACCTTGAAATATTTGTCTTTATGTATTAACACAAACTGGGTCTTCTCTGAACCATTTTCCTCCCTGGATAAGGGAGGAGAGTTCTTCAGTGAGCTTTAGCTGTTATCGACTATGTCAACTTCAGTAACGGGATTACCCATCTCAGCTGCCTGTGCAGTTTATGGGATTTCTCCACATAGTGTGGCTCTTTCAGAGGGGAGGACCTTAGTCTTGTGCCCAGGTGGGAGCACTCGGAGGTAATCGAACAAGCCTGCTCCTCTGCGTTCCTCCTGAGAGTCACAGGCAGGGACAGCAGTACCTTTTGGTACAAAAGGGGCACAAATCTTGTTCCTGTCACTCCAAGCAGAAGCACATTCCTTGTAGGAATTGTCTTGCCTTGAGAAAACTGAATGGACTTTTATCTGGCCAGGTGAGAAGAGCCCAGAAGCAGATGCAGAGTGAGATCAGCAGGGGGTGGGACATGGGGAGCTACGAGCCTCTGCGTGGGTGTGCTTAGTCACCGCACGTGTGTTACCGCCGTGGTCAAATGGCCGATGGAAACAGGCTCCATCAGCAGCTAGGAGATGGTTAGAAGCTTTTTAAGAGTACAGCGCTTTTGCTGCAGAGGAAATGGGAGATGACACCAGGAATCGAATCGATAAGAAAATGTGATTCTGGGATTGCAGCTCTTTAGGGTGTGTTCGTTGGAGGTTTTTTCATTTGTTTTAAGAGTTTTCCCTAGTCCTGCAGGGCCAAAAATCCTGGAGAAAAGAATGCCTGTCTCTTAAAAACAGTGCCATTTCAAAGCTTTAGCCTGTCAAAATATGAAATGATTGATAATGTTGATGAGTAGTTTGATTCATGTGACTTTTTCCACTCAACCAACTGATGTTTCTTTCTTATTCGTCCTTTTTCTTTTGTGGTCATTTGCTGTAATAATTTTTGAGATCCATTTCCTTTTGCAACAACCTGTTGTCTCTCTCTTGACCATCCTATTTTCCCTGAAATTATGTGTTTAACCAATCACGTTGGGTCTTCCTAAAGACTTTAATCAGCCATGACAACTCCTCTCAGCAAGCAGCTGGTCATAGCTCCTTCCATCCAGGAGCTCAGTCTTGCAGGTCTTTCCCAAAGAGCTTTCCCCAAGAGGCTTGCTGCAGCCTAGCTAACGCTTGCCGGACCAGTCTCTGTTTCCCATGAAATGCAAACATCCACCTCCAGGCTTTCTTTCCCTTCTACTCACAGAAGGGAGAATGCAGCTGAGAGAAAAATCACCAGGACAGATTCGCGTTCTTAGAGACCCCTCTGCTTCTTCAGTGTGGCTGAGCCGTCCCTGGAGTGGTCTGGCATTCTAGCCCAGGCCAGAAACCTTCCGTTCTTGGCGGCTGTAGTCGGTCCATAGGTGTTTTGCCTTCTGAAGGTCAGTTCACCAGGTGATTGGAAGTGCTTTGCTTAGCTTGAAAAACCAGTGCTTAAACTGAGATAAGTTTAATGTCTATTTCACTTACTAAATTTGTTTATTCACAAATATTTAAAACATAACACTAGAGCAATATCTTACTGTCTGTTTTCCATTTGAACCGATATTTAAAATACCTGTCTAGTGCCGGGCTCGGTGGCTCAGCCTGTAATCCCGCGCCTTTGGGAGGCTGAGGTGAGTGGATGGCCTGAGCCCGCGGGCTCGAGACCCGCCTGGGCAGCGAGACCTCATCTCTACAATAAATCAAAAACAAAATCAGTCGGGCATGGTAGCGCATGCCTGTAATTCCGGCTACTCGGAAGGCTGAGGCGGAAGGATCGCCGGAGCCCAGCAGGTCGAGGCTGCGGTGGCCGGGAGCGGCCACTGCACTCCAGTCTGGGTGACAGAGTGAGACTCCGACTCTAAAAAAAAAAAAAAAAAATACCTGTCTAGTAATAAAGGGGACTTGTAAATATTGTGACTATTGTTTGCTTTCATTCTGATACAAGCAACATTCTGGCATCAAATCGTCTTAAATGAGTATGTGAGAAGCACAGCTGAGTTCAGCACTGACTGAATGTGATAGGCAAACTCCTCTAAACAACTGGTTTCTTATCATGCTGTAGGTCTCAGTTGGACTCATTAGCCCAGGAATTCTGAAACTCTTCTCCATTTCCATACCATATTCCTCATAAATAAATGTTACACCCACATTATAACTGTACTGCAATGTGCACAGGTGCTTTCAAATTCTCAGAGTACTTGCACACCTGTTACCTCGTTTTAGCACAAGCAAGGTGTCTTCTACCCCACTAGTGTGCATATTAGTACATGGCAGATCAACTTTTGATCCTGAGCCCTGTGGAAATGAGACAAGAAATGTAAATATGGAGACTAGATCAGGAGGGGGAAACACTCTCCAGTGCTCAGGACCTAATTGTAGTCTTTAGGAGTTTTCTTGAAAGCTACTTAGGAGTAGCCAAAAGACTACTGAATAATAAAGAAGAGTGATGGAATTCATAAGGTTAGGGGCCACCTTCTGTGAATAAAAGAATTTTCAAGCCGGCTCGGTGGCTCAGCCTGTAATCCCGCGCCTTTGGGAGGCTGAAGTGAGTGGATTGCCTGAGCCCGCGGGTTTGAGACCCGCCTGGGCAGGCGAGACCTCATCTCTACAATAAATTAAAAAGAAAAAAAATTAGCCAGGCGTGGTAGCGCGCATCTGTAGTTCCAGCTACTTGGAAGGCTGAGGTGGAAGGATCACCAGAGCCCAGCAGGTCAAGGCTGCGGTGGCCGGGAGCAGCCACTGCACTCCAGTCTGGGTGACAGACTCCAACTCCCAAAAAAAAAAAGAATTTTCAAATTCTGGAAATTACGACCATTTATAGGAGGTTTCCATTTACAGAAATGCACATGGAAAAATGAAATGTACTTGTATTTTCACAAAATACAGACTCCTAGATAGCAAAAGAAATGCATATCTTTGCATAACCTTTAGTGTAAATACTAGTAAGAAGAATTTATAATGTGAAAGTCTTTATGTTTTGAATGTTCCCATCTAAATTTTAAAAACTGCATTACCTAGGACAATATGTTAGATACTAAAAAGCCATTTTCGAAATTATTTCTCAATCATTAGAAAATCAGTTCAATTGAAAGTCTAATATTTCTTGATCTAAACACTGTTACTTAACTATGACTGGATCACTTCTTTATTTGAAAGAACTTCACATAATATGTTGGTTTTGCAAACACTTGTCCTTCTGACATTATTAAAGGACAGGACTAGAAGCAGAGGCATCTGGAAGCCTTGCTGTGACCAGGTCGTACCTGGGATCCCACATGCCACATCTCATCTAATCCTCACAGCAGCCATGGGGCCAGGGCTTGCCCCCTGGTAAATGGCAGAGCCGGGACTCCGGGCCTGGGCTGCCCCACTGTATCCTTTTCCTTTATAACCCCTGATGCCCATGGGCTGGCACTGTATTAAAATGATATAAAATATTTTGATAGCAGTTCAACAAATAGTCGTTTTCCAAGTGCTCTCATAGATTACACTTACGTAGGCACAGCAAGCAGAGGACAAAATCCTAACAGTCTAGTGGAAACTTGCTGAATCAGCTCATGGTTATTACCATGAAAGCCTTTGGATGCAAAACCACAGTGGTTATTTGTTGACCCTTTTTGGGGGATGCCCTGTACATCTCAGCAGAACTCTGCCTTTCACCTGTATTGGTGAGAAGCCTTATATGTAGCGGTAGGGTTTACTCTGTACACAGGGAA